CTCAAAGAATCACATATGTTCAGGAAGAAAGGCAGAGCTTTAGAAACCTGCCATATCAGATTAGGAGCAGTGCAAGAATGAAAACAATGGAAGAGATATTTTCTTAAGAGAAAGTTGACATCTCGGAAAACAGCTGAGAGGCAAATTGCATTTCCTCCCCACCATCCACAGTCCAGCAAAGGGCCAGCCCTATGGGTCTTCCTTCTCTCCAACAATAAAATGTTAGAAACTCAATGAGCCTTCTGGAAAGGAGTACAGGAACAGTAGAGAGAAAAACCCTCAAAGAGAAGTGCCTAAAAGCAATGCTACTCCTCACCTGACACATTCAGAAGATGAGGACAGTATCTTGAGGAAAACATAGCAAAGGTTTTGATTCTCACTGGGTCCCTGGAAGAACAAACTTCAGGACAGCAGATTCAGGTAAAAAAAAAAAACCTGCTGAGAATGAGTCTCAACTGAAACATGCCGGATAAAGGAACTCCACCCCCCAGCCCCCCACAGGAGACAGGTGTCCTGGGCATGAGCAACTCCACAGCAGAAGGCAGTGGCCCCTGAGGACTGCTCACAGGGGGCTAGGGAAGCTGTGTCATTAGAGCCCACCCTCAAGGCGGTCCTGGGGTGCCAGAAACACAGGACCCAAAGGGGAAATGGTATTAAGTAATTTAAATATGCTGGATGAAAAAGAAAGACATCTCAAAAATCTCAAAGAAGACCTGGTTGGGGCTGCTGCTACGACTGTAAATTAACACTGCACGAAGGCAGCATTGTCTTAAATACCACTATCTAGAGACAAGACTAGACACAGGTAGATGTCCCTCTGGAATAGAATGAACGTAAGTCATAATTAACCTCTTAATGGGTGATTCTCCCAACTGAGTTCAGACTTACAAGTTCAGAGTCATAACTGGTATAGAATTACTTCAGTCCCAGCAAAACTGAATCAAGAATTTTCCAGCTTATTCACCTTCCCACAGATATAACTGAGTATCTTTTGACAGGTTTCTAGGGACAAAATTTTCCCTGCTATATCTGCTAGGGGCTGGGGAGTAATTTTGTGAATGTGAGGGAATGCTGTGATAATTCTATAGGTCCTGTCAACTATTTAGATTTTGTTGTTGCTGTTGTTTTAAGTGAGGCTTATAAGAGACTAGGTATTGAACTTGGGTAGCACACGGTTAGAAGGCAGGTGCATTAGGTTCTCACACTAAGTTATATTCTTCAACAGCTCCATCAGTATAAAGTTGACATTTAGTCTCCACCTGCCTGCCGTTCCTCTATTTCCGTTAGTTACGAGCCCCGGTTTAGAAAAAGGGTGTTATTTATTGAGTCTCCCCCTAAAATCACATCTGCCCGTACTTTCATAACATAGGCTTACTCTTGAGGATGGTCAAAGCAACTATAAAATATGGAACTAAAACCTTCTACAGCGTGTGTAAGACAGAGAGACACAAAGGTGAATTAATGGCCATGGCCTAAAAATCAGCAAAATCTCTATAGCCCAAAGGCATGTAAATGAAGATCAAGGTGGGAAACAAAGTTAGACCCTGTGCATTTGGGAAAAAAGGCTAAAACTAAATGTTGGGTTAGTGGGACTTGGTAAGTTTACTCTCATCCTCTAAATGCAGCAATGGACATGTGCCTTCTTCACCAGCCAGACAGGTAAGAAATGGACTCTCCCAAAGACACCTTGTGGAAACAAGCTGCCAGAACCACAGACCCTCCTTCCAACATTCCAGGAGTGCAACACATGTACATGCAGGCACAAAATCAGTTTAAAAAAATGTTTTTTAATTGATGACATTTATAGTTTGTTTTCACTCTTCTCAAATTCAGTGATGCTCTCCAAGAAAAAAAAAGTACCACCCTTATTCAACCTGCCACACTGTCCCTTCTCCATACCCACTGTCATCACCCTCTCCATACATTATACAACACACCACGAATACCCTCAGTTCTCATCCCCTCACCCTGGACTGCTTCAGTGGACTCCATGGTAACCCCACCCAACACCCTACCCCAAATTCCTTAGCGACATGTTCAAGGGCCTTATGACTAGTTTCCCTCATGCTCTATGTACACCTGCTTTCCAACCAAGAATCCTCCCTCACCACCCCCATATTAGCTATGCTCCTTCGCATCCACATATCCCTCTGTGCTCAAAGACTTTTTTAAACATCTTTATTGGAGTATACTTGCTTTACAATGGTGTGTTAGTTTCTGCTTTATAACAAAGTGAATCGGTTATACATATACATATGTCCCCATACCTCTTCCCTCTTGCGTCTCCCTCCCTCCCATCCTCCCTCCCATCCTCCCTATCCCACCCCTCCAGGCGGTCACAAAGCACCGAGCTGATCTCCCTGTGCTATGCGGCTGCTTCCCACTAGCTATCTATTTTACGTTTAGTAGTGTATATATGTCCATGCCACTCTCTCACTTTGTCCCAGCTTACCATTCCCCCTCCCCGTATCCTCAAATCCATTTTCTAGTAGGTCTGCGTCTTTATTCTCGTCTTGCCCCTAGGTTCTTCATGACCATTTTTGGGGGGGGGGATTCTATATATATGTGTTAGCATACAGTATTTGTTTTTCTCTTTCTGACTTAACTTCATTCTGTATGACAGACTCTAGGTCCATCCACCTCACTACAAATAACTCAATTTTGTTTCTTTTTATGGTTGAGTAATATTCCATTGTATATATGTGCCACATCTTCTTTATCTGTTCATCTGTTGATGGACACTTAGGTTGCTTCCATGTCCTGGCTATTGTAAACAGAGCTGCAATGAACATTTTGGTACATGACTCTTTTTGAATTTTGGTTTTCTCAGGGTATATGCCCAGTAGTGGGATTGCTGGGTCGTATGGTGGTTCTATTTTGAGTTTTTTAAGGAACCTCCATGCTGCTCTCCATAGTGGATGTATCAATTTACATTCCCACCAACAGTGCAAGAGGATTCAATGGCTGCCTCTGAACTTGCGATTCAGCGCACACAAGTTTTTTGTCTCCCGCGTCCCTCCGACAAATACTGGGCACCAACCATGTGCCAGGCACTACCCCAGACAAAGAATAAAAGGGAGATCGAGTGGGGCCAGGCCCACTCCGGCGGCCCCGCTGGCGCGCATGTTCTCTACCGGGCTGCCACCTTGAAACGCCCATCCTGTCCTCTCTGAGCCACCTCCCGGAGCAGGGCCACAGGCCTGGCCCTCCCTTCCGCCTGGGGGCGCCCGAGCCAGGCTCGGACCAAGTGCGGGAGAGACGCAAGGGCCACCAGAAGGCGGGCCTTCCTGCTGCAGGGCCTCCTGGATTGGGGGGCACTCCGCCTCCCCGGGCAAGGACCCTGAGGCAGGCTGCCCGGCCGAATGCCTGAAGGACCCCGCTTGTACCGAAGGCTAGCTATCGCAGTGCCTGGTGGCCGGCCTGCGCGGCGGGAGGATCAGGTGACTCGGACCCGAACTCCAGCACACTGGGGCTCCGAATAGCTCAGAATCTAGCGTGGCCTTAGGTCTCGGTACAAGGGGCCTGGGTCGCGCAGCTGCAGGCCCAGAGAAATGGAAGAGCAGGGTGGGGAAGAGGGCGGTATCTAGAGCTGAGGCTGTGAGTCTGGGGGGCGGGGCTTCAGGTGTTGGAAGCAGAAAGCCGAGTTGACGGGTTGCAGGTCTCCGACACGCTTGGGAGGATGAGAGGCATGACTGGCGCCTTCCAGGAAGCAGAATAGGCGCCTCTGTTGTGGGGGCAAACGCCCAGGCAATTTCTAAAATTTATAATTCTCTAATCGAGTGACTTTTATGTTGAGCAAGTTTCTCGACCTGTTAACATTTGTTGTAAACCAAGGTCCAAGACAGGCATAACTTTGCTGGCATTAAGAAAGGAACCATGTCCTCCGCTGGATAGCCCCTAGCATTCTGGTCTTGGAATAGCTGAATCAGATTCATTCATTGATTCATTCAGCAAATACTTCTGAGAACCATCTATGTGCTAGGCACTCTGCATAAGTACAGAGGATACGATGGTGAGCGAAACAGATCCCTGCTTTCATAGAGCTGACCTTCTGGTTGGGAAGAGCTAACTGAAGAAAACGTGAAAGGAGCCATGAGAATGTATAACAGGGGAAGTGAACTAAGATCTAGTGGGTGAGTAGGAGGTAACCAGAGGAAGCACTTTCTGGACTGTGAAAACTTCTCAGGCAAAGGCTGTCAGGCCAGAATGTCTTGGAGCTGTAAGGCCCGTGAGGCTGGAGCAAAAGCAAGTTAAGGAGTGTGGAGTTCCAGATGAGGCTAGAGAGGTATGCAGGGATAAGATCATGCAAAGCCTAGTAGGACATGATAAGGCTTTGGGGTTTTATCATAAAAGCAGGGTACACTTTGAAGGGTTAAGGAGGGAAATGATATGACTAGATTTGCATTTTTAGTTCACTGTGGCTGCTATGTGGAGAACAGATTGTAGAGGGTAGCAAGAGTAGAAACTGGGAGACCACTGAAGAGGCTGTTGCAGAAGTCCAGAGGGGGTTGATGATGTCTTGGACCGTGGTGGTGGCAGTTAAGAAGGAGAGAATTGTACGGATTTGAGATACACTGGCTAGGTAAAATTGCCAGAACTCAGTGATATCATGGATATGGAGGGTGAGGAAGGGGAGGTGCCAAGGGTGTCGCTCCCTAGATATATGGCAAAGGTTCTGCTCGCTTTTGGGTTACTCACCACCTGGGATGTTAGGGAAACTGGGTTGGCTGATCTTGTACTGGTTAGACTGTGCTTAGCTTTGTGGATTGAGTAGAGCATCAAGCTGAATGCTGTAGAAGGGACATGAATAGGAGAGACCTTGGCACAGTTTCTCCGTTTGGGCCAGACCCTAGCACTGCTTTTTTTTTTTTTCTTTGCGGTACACGGGCCTATCACTGTTGTGGCCCCTCCCATTGCGGAGCACAGGCTCCGGACGCGCAGGCTCAGCGGCCATGGCTCACGGGCCTAGCCGCTCCGAGGAATGTGGGATCTTCCCGGACCGGGGCACGAACCCGTGTCCCCTGCATCGGCAGGCGGACTCTCAACCACTGCGCCACCAGGGAAGCCCCCTAGCACTGCTTTTAATGTGATTGTCAGGCTACTTTTGGGCTGAGAATAAAGAGACAGTTGTCCAGACTCTGTCCCTGTGTGTTCATGGAAGCCTTCTCTGTATTTGTTGGCAAATTTAGGGGTTCCACCAGGTAATCTTTGACACCTTAGTCCTGCAGAGATGATCAATTTCTTACATGTAAATAGAATTTCAAAGTTGGAAGAGATCTCAAGTTTTCTTAGTCCAGTTTATAAAATACTTTTATGTTCTTTATATGATCTTCACAATTATTTATTAAGCTCTTACACCATCATGATTAGACACTAGAAATAGTGTCTTGTTCTTTTCTCTGAAGATGAATAGAATAAGACTGTATAGGTTCATTTAGTCAATAAAATTGATTAAGCACCTTTGTGCCAGGCAGTTTTAGCTGCTTCAGATACAAAATGATTACAACTTGTCTTTGACCTTGGAGTTGCATGTCTGCAAACCCTGCCATTGAGGACAGCTGAGTGTATTAAAGGGTTTGATTTGGGCGTGATAGATCCTGACTTATCTGTAAGATTAGGTAAGAAATGGTATGTATCCAACAGACTTTTTGGGGTGTATCCTGGCAAGATCCCAATTCTTGTCCATCCAATCTTCAAATTCTATAATTGATGGGAGGGCACTGTGGGAACAGTTATTGTACCCTTGCGGCTGCTCTTTAGGAATGTAAATTGTAAATCCTCAGTAAAACACAAAAGAAAGGAAGGGACAGGAGTATCGCCAGAGACAGGTCGTGTTTAAACTTGAACTTCTGAATGGGTCACTCTTTCGCAGGTTTACAGTTGCACTAACCAGATTATGTGCTCCACTGGGCAACTTGAATGGCCCCTCTACCACTCCCTTCCCTCAGCTCCATGAACCCAAATGGGCAAATTAAATACTAAGTAACTGTCGGGTGCTTTATCAGTGTAAGAGTGAGAGCCCTGGTTGACTTGCAAAACTGCTCGGCTCCAGAATAGGAAGGGTGGGGAGTGCAGCACTGACGGGTCTCTTATCTGACTCTCTGATGGCAGGAGGGAGATGACCTCGATATTACGGAGCCCTCAGGCTCTCCAGCTTACTCTGGCTCTGATTAAGCCTGATGCAGTTGCTCACCCACTGATTCTGGAGGTAAGAACAAGTCCTAAGACTCTACTGTATGTCGGAGGCATTGCTTTTGTTTCAGGTGCCATAGGGCCATTTGCGAAGACTGACAACACAGTCCTGTGCTAGATGGTGTGGAGGCAAAGTTAGAAGCCATGACTCTGACCATAAGGAGATTAAAAATCTACTGGAGGGCTTCCCTGGTGGCGCAGTGGTTGAGAATCTGCCTGCCAATGCAGGGGACACGGGTTCGAGCCCTGGTCCGGGAAGATCCCACATGCCGCGGAGCAACTGGGCCCGTGAGCCACAACTACTGAGCCTGCGTGTCTGGAGCCTGTGCTCCGCAACAAGAGAGGCCGCGATTAGTGAGTGGCCCCCGCTTGCCACAACTAGAGAAAGCCCTCACACAGAAACGAAGACCCAACACAGCCAAAAATAAATATACATTAAAAATCTACTGGAGAATTGGGACAGATATAAAATATAAAAAAGGATCCAATACAATAATAAAAACCAAACCTCAAGACAATGTACGTATATTAGTTCTCTACTAATGTGTAACAAATTACCACAAACTTAGCAGCTTAAAACAACACTCATTATCTCACAGTTCTAGAATTTAGAGGTCCAGTAGGTTTGGCTGAGGGCTGGGTTCTCTCCTTAGAGTTTCACAAAGCCAAATTCCAGGTATCGGCTGACTGGGCCCTTATCTAAAGGGTCTGGGGAAGAATCCACTTTGATACTCATTCAGGTTGGCAGAATTTGGTTTCTGTGGTTATAGGACTGAGATAGACCCCCATGTCCTTGCCGGCCTTCAGGTGGGGCCTACCATTTTTAGAGTCCACTCACATTCCTCATCACATGGCTCACTCCATCTTCAAGACAGCAACAGGGCGTCTCTTTTCTTTTGACCCACCAATGGGACAGACCCTCAAGTCCTAGGCTCTGAAGGGTCCTCAGGGTTCTTTTGGTCTGCCTGGGTCTCCCATTCACTCAAATGGTCCCTTTGACTGACTTTTATCTTTGGGGTGGTGTTTATCCAGGCTGTTCATCAGCAGATTCTGAGCAACAAGTTCCTTATTGTACGAATGAGAGAACTTCTGTGGAGAAAGGAAGATTGCCAGAAGTTTTACCAAGAGCATGAAGGTAGGACCAACAGTCCTCTTGAGTGGGAGGCTTCTCTATCACAAGAGAGATTTTGCCTGGCCACACAATGTCAGGCTCTCTCTGACCTACGAACCGTAAAATTGCAGCCAGTCTTCTAAAATCTTGGTTTATACACAAACTTTTCATGATTATCAGTATTTTTTAAATGTTTTCTAGGAGGGTTCTACGTCATGGTCCCAACAAGTAACTTAGTTTTATGTCCTGATACTATCACTAGTTACCAATTTACTCTGTCAGACATTGTCCAAAGGCTCATGATTTCTTTTAATTCCCCAGCAACCCCATGAAGTAGGTATTGTTATGTCCCCAGCACACAAATTAGAAAACTAAATTAGGGAAGTTAATGATTTACCCGAAACTACACAGGTTGCAAGTTGGAGAGCCTGGATTCAGACCCAGGTATGTCAGACGCCAAGGTCCTTGTTCTTTTCTCTAAAACAGTTTTTATCATTCCAAATAGGGAGTCAGAAGTATAAAAAGTTCTCTTGGCACCAGTGTCTTGATGAAGGTACTCTCTTTGCAGGGCGTTTTTTCTATCAGCGGCTGGTGGAGTTCATGGCCAGGTATTTCTCATTTTGGTTATAACATCTTCATCCACTGAGACTTATTTCCCCTGCCCCCTAAATAGATTTGTTAATTTTATTTGCCACTCTTTAAACTTGTAACCAGTGTCAAGTGTCTGAAGAAACATGGGCTTGGGCCAACACTGACCTTGTGGCCACTTGTCCCATGGTAGTTAACTGCTCCAGGGGCTGTAGAAGAGTATTGTTGAATGCTGCCTAGCAACTCTTCTGATCCCTGTGGCCTTTCTTGATCATCCGCAGTGGCCTTCCATCACCTTTTATTTGAAGCAGTATTGGCACTCAACTAGAAAGGCAAGGAGACTCTCAGGATGTCCAGTGTGCCTTTATTTGTGCTCTACTCATGGTATGCCCTCCTGGACCCGATAGCCAGATTCCTGACGTGTGCTCCATTTATTCACAGTGGGCCAATCCGAGCCTACATCCTCGCCCACAAGGATGCCATCCAGCTCTGGAGGACAGTGATGGGACCCACCAGAGTGTTTCGAGCACGCCACGTGGCCCCAGATTCAATTCGTGGGAGTTTCGGCCTCACTGACACCCGTAATACAACCCATGGCTCAGGTGAGTCTGCCTCCTGTGTCCACTGTATTTAATAAGCGAAGCTGGTTTGAGGTTGGTGGGCAGGCATATGGTGGGGTTGAGAGCCAGGTCCCTCAGTGAGCTTTCTTCCCAGTTGTGTTTCTGGCCCTTTGTGGCCACCTCAGCAGATGCGGCCCCAGGACTTAGGGGCAGGAGAAGTATAGGCTCTGGTTTCTGAACCTGATTATGATTGCCTCTTGCCTCCATCCTAAACTCCCTATGAGAACCCCTTCTCTTTTTTACCTCCCCTTACAGACTCTGTGGTTTCAGCCAGTAGAGAGATCGCAGCCTTCTTTCCCGACTTCAGTGAACAGCGCTGGTATGAGGAAGAGGAGCCCCAGTTGCGCTGTGGCCCTGTGCGCTACAATCCAGAGGGAGGCATCCACTTTGCAGCTGGAACAGGAGGCCCAGGGCCAACCTGACGCAGGCCTGTTGGTCTGTGAGGAGTGATGGTGTTGCCCAGCCTTTTCTCGCAGACCTCTGGTCCAGAGCATTCTCCTAGGACCAGGGAGGCCTGGGGCTTATTGTGCCATCTCTGCTGGGCACCGCCACCTGCATAAGAGCCTAGCTCCTCACTGCTACCTCTTCTAGAATCTAACTCTCTATCTACCTCTTCTCTGGAATGTTCATGGGTGGTTCAGAGGAATGATGGCTCCTTTTTTTCTGAGAACTGTTCATCCTTTTTCAAGGAGGGGCTTGCCTAACTGACTTGCCTGAAAAATGCAGTGACTGTATTAGCAACATTTGGTCTATTTTCCTTAATAAAAGTCAGTATTCTACTGAATCCTGCAGGCTGAGAGCACTACTCTATGTACTGTCTCTCTATCCCTAACTGGAATAATTAAATCTGTCCTGAAGTCAAGTTTCTGGTCTATGCTAAGTAAAGAGAGAATTGTGGGACTTGCCTAGTAGCGCAGTGGTTAAGAATCCGCCTGCCAACGCAGGGGACACAGGTTCGAGCCCTGGTACGGGAAGATCCCACATGCTGCGGAGCAACTAAGCCCGTGCGCCACAATTACTGAGCCTGTGCTCTAGAGCCCGCGAGCCACAACTACTGAGCCCACATGCCACAACTAGTGAAGCCCACGCGCCTAGAGCCTGTGCTCTACAACAAGATGAAGCCACCACAATGAGAAGCCTGTGCACTGCAACGAAGAGTAGCCCCCGCTCGCTGCAACTAGAGAAAGCCTGCGCACAGCAACGAAGACCCAATGCAGCCAAAAATAAATAAATAAAATTAATTAATTTTTTTAAAAAAAGGGAGAATCGTGAAGAAATCTCCCAGGAGGTTCACACACAGTGTGCAGCTTATGTAGTGCATGAGGCACCCAGTGACGGAGCTGACTGTGGGCTCAAATCCATGCTGTGCACCTGGCACAGGGCTGCATCCTGGAAGAAGGGGCACCTTTCGTTTGAACAGAAGTATGTCTGCCCAGTAGAGGCATATTGTTATGACTCACTTTTTTTTCTGATTTGCACAAAGCCACTAAAGCTAGCCATGTCTGCTGTAGCTGAGGATGACAGTTATCTATCGCTGCATGACAAATCACCTCAAGATTTTGTGGCTTAAAACAATGACTTAGATATGTCACCGTGGTCCAGTGGTTAAGAATCTGCCTTCCAATGCAGGGGAGATGGGTTTGATCCCTGGTCGGGGAACTACGATCCCACATGCCATGCAGCAATTAAGCCCGCGCACCCCAACTACTGAGCCCATGCGCCACAACTAGAGAGCCCATGTGCCACAAACTACAGAGCCCATGTGCTCTGGAGCCCGTGCTCCACAACTACAGAGCCCACACACCACAACTAGAGAGAAGCCCATGCGCTATAACAAAGAGCCCGCGTGCCGCAGTGAAAGATCCCATGTGCCACAACTAAGACCTGACACAGCCAAAAATAAACAAATAAATATTAAAAAACAACAACAATAACAACGATTCATTCTTATGTGTCTGTGGATTGGCTGGGTGATTCTGCTGGGCTCACTGGGACTCACTCACATGGCTGCATTCAGCATTTGGGTCCAATGTGGTCTTTCATCCTGAGCTGCTTCATAGCATGGTTGTTTCAAGGTTCCAAGAGAGCAGGCCCCCATTCACAAGCTCATCACGCTTCTGCTTGTGTCATGTTTGCTGATATCCCACTGACAAAGGCCAAGTCACATGGCCAAGCCCAGAGTCCACACATAGGGCATGGACAGTGGGAGGTGTGAATCACTGGGGGCCATTACCATGACAATCTACAAACTGAAAGTAGTGAGGAGCCTTGAATTTATATAGAACTTATGAAAACAAATACTTGCACAAGCCAACAAAGGAGATGAAGAAATAGCCAGAGAAGGAAGGAAAAAACCGAGGGTGTGTGGATCAGGAAAGTCAAGAGAAAAGAGTGTTTAGATAATGAAGCAATGTTGAATGCTGTTGAGAAGTCCAGAATAATGAAGCCCTTAAAGTACCCCCTAAGTATGGCAGCATGGAGATCGCTGTGACCTTGGCAAAAGCGGCAGCTCTGGAGTGGTAGGGAGCTTACTTTGTGTGGAAGACAGTGGGTTGAAGCATTTATACTGTCGTACTACCTGTGGGTTTAGAGTGGGATACCTAGGAGTCTTAGAGAATCTTCTTACAACTGAATCTGTAAGTGTATGTCTACATATGCTCCCATCTTCTTCTATCTTCCTGTTACAACATAGGATGGGTCCTGCTTCCTGTTAAGCCAGTCCTTCCATGTTGCTCTGAATCCCATCTCCTTGCTTTTTTGGTTGTCTAGTCTTTACTGCACTTTTACCCTTCTCCACTGAGTCCTTCCCCTTTGAATTCAAACATGTTTTGGTGTCTCCCATTTTTCAAAATCATTTTAACCTCATTTTCCCCTTTGGCTACCTGTTTCTTCATCTCTGTACAGACAAGTCCATATCAGTTGTCTGCACTGACAGGCTCACCCCCATTTTCTCAGCAGCCCATTACGGTATGGCGTGCACACTCACCATTCGAGAGGAGACTGGTTGGTTTCTTTTTCTTCTTCTTTTTAAATATCTATCTATCTAGGCTGTGCCAGGTCTTAGTTGTGGCATGTGGAATCTTTAGTTGTAGCATGCAGGACCTTTTTAGTTGCAACATGTGGGATATTTTAGTTGCGGCATTCTCCCCCGCAAAGCTAAACAAAGGCCAGCTGAAAACACCAGACAAACTGACAAGAGAGACTGATCAGGAGCCCCAGCTATCGGTAAGCAGCCAGAAGAAGCACTCTCCTTCCCTCTACTTTTCGTATCTAATCCTTAAAGCTCTGTCCCTGTGAATATTTCTTGCTCCACGTGCCTCTCAGTCCCCACTTATATGGCCACTGTAGAGAAGACATCCTTGGTGACTGAGTAGAGTGAAATGACTAGAGATTTAAGTGAAGGGAATGGATGTGACTGGCAAACAGAGTGCACAGAGTGGAGGGGAGGCAGAAGAATGCTGGGACTGAAACAATCCAGCATGTGGTGGTGAAGTACCCTACAAAAGGCTGAGGGTGACCACAGAAGCTGGAAAACAGTTGAAGGAGTGTGGGGAGAGGATAGGAATAAGAAAAAGGTAATCAAATTCTGCTGAGGCTGCAAGAGAAATGAGGACTGAGCAAAAAGGGGGATTAAAAAAATATTATTGCTGGGCTTCAACAACAGTGTCCACTAAATGGTGGGTACAGAGAAGAGTGGAGAGGACTGAGAAGTGTTTGGGATGAAAGAGTGGATAAATGGGGATTACTTCCAAGTCTGTTAAGAGATACAGTAGATGGAAAGAAAATGGGATTAGAAGAGAATTTTTCAGAATAGTAATAATTTGAACACGCTTAAATGCTAAGGAAGTAGAGTCATTAGAGACGGATTGGTTTACAATAAATATAATTTAGAATCATTAAAATTCCTGAGAAGCACGAGGGACTAGGACGCAAACACACTTTAGAGGAAAAGGTCAATTTTGGAATTAAAGATAGCTCCTCCTTCACTATAGGAGAGAGGCATAGGAATGCTTGCGTGTTTCATTGTGGGGATGTTGGCTCTTTCTTCAGCAATATCTCTTTCATTTGTCAAACAGGAGTCAAAGCCATCTATTGAAAGTGAGGGGAAAGATGAAATTCATAAAGCATGAAAAGGTTTGAAATAATACTTATGAAGCATGGGAAAGGGAACTGACTCATGAGACATAGAATTACGAGGCATTTCTGAGGGCAAATTAAGAACTCTGTGACCCTGTATTTGGAATATGAGTTGCATGCCTTGTCATGTGTTGTGGTGAGTTGCAGCCGTGAAATGTGCAATTGGTGGAATCATCCAAGATCAGGGATTTCATGAGCAGGCTTGGTGAAAGATCAAAGGGACAAGGAATATTTAGTCTTAGCAAGTAAATAGTTGAAACAATCATCCAAGGATTAAACTGGACCCAAGAAACAAATGGACAGAGAGGACAATGGAGGGTTCCCACTTGGTGGCAAACCTGTGTGCACAAGAAGATATGAATGAACAGGTCGGCAGTTTGGAGATTGTGGTTGGGGTGAGGGTGTTCTGAGTTATTTGAAAGGTAGAATGTGTGGGTGAACACAGTGTTTCCTCTCAAGTTGTTCGGAAAGGAGGTGCAGGGATTAGAAGCTGGAGCTTTGGTGACAGATCGGAATTCAAATCCTGGTTCTATCACTTTCTAGCTATGTGACTTTAGCTATATTTGTCTCCACTCAATTCAGTTGTTAAATGAGAAAGTCATACTTAACTTTCAGAGTTACTGTGAGGATTAAACTAACTCATGCACATAAGGTCAAAAACCCAAGATCTCAATAAATGACAATTTAAATGATCTCTTCTTCTCTTTCTTTGGATTTCAGATAGAAAGAGTTAAGTTAATCACACCTCTCAGTGTATGACTTAATCTCACACTATTTTCCTTTGTCTATTTTAGCACATTTAATTACTGACGATGTTTTTGACAAGACTGTACAGTTAAAAGTGGCTTTCTCATATATAAACTTAGGTAATGCACAGAGATAGCTGATAGATTATGATTAGGGTAGGACACAATTCTAGTTACCACTTTACCAAGAGCAGTTGAAACCAAATGAAATCACGTAAGTTGATCTCACACTCTTTATGCTGAGGTTAAAGTAAGCATTCCTGTCCTCCGTAGGGAATGTAGAACACAGAAACGGCACCATGGCCAAAGTACACGACTGATTTCTTATGAAAGTGACTGTAATATTAGTCTAGCAGAAATAGAACTTTGATTCATTGAACGCATTAACAAAATAAAATAGGCCCTTTGACAGCTCAGACAGAAGCCCAGCTCAGTGGAGTACAAAGCTAGGATTCAGGGTTGGAGGACCAAGACTGCCTGAGTCTCTCACAGTGAGAAGCCTGGATGACCGAGGAAGAAGGTTTCCAAAGGAGCAGAGGGCAGGGTAGGGCAGGGAGGGTGTGTAGCTCAAATGAGCTGGGCTGGAGGCTTAAGGAAACATGTTAGTGAGTTAAATCAAGAGTGATGGGGCTTCCCTGGTGGCGCAGTGGTTGAGAGTCCGCCTGCCGATGCAGGGGACGCGGGTTCGTGCCCTGGTCCAGGAAGATCCCACATGCCGCGGAGGGGCTGGGCCCGTGAGCCATGGCCGCTGAGCCTGCATGTCCGGAGCCTGTGCTCCGCAGTGGGAGAGGCCACAACAGTGAGAGGCCCGTGTACCAAAAAAAAAAAAAAAAAAAAAAAGAGTGATGGAAGTTGAGAAATTCCAGCAGTTTTCCCCCTAGAAGTAGAAGCCACAATCCTC